TTTCTTCTTATGGCTGAATAATATTCCATTGTGTATATGTACCACATCTTTATCCATTCATCTACTGGTGGACACTTAGGTTGCTTCCATTTCTTGGCTATTGTAAATAGTGCTGGGATAGACATAGGGGTGCATCTGTCTTTTACAAACTCGGCTGCTTGTGCCATTTATTTTAAGCCTTGAGTTTTGTGGGGATGTGGACTCCTTAATGATGGCTTCTCTCTTACCCCCACTTTGCTCTTAGTTTTCCCTAAGATCTTACATTAATATGGTAAATCTTGTAGCATCTGCTAGTTTTTAAAGCAATATTGATACATTGTTATCAACTAAAGTCCATAGTTTATTCCAATTTCCTTTAGTTTTAACAGTCCTTTTTCTGTTCCAGGATCCCATCTAGCATACCACATTACAGTTAGTTGGCAGATCTCCTTAGGTTCCTCTTGGCTATGACAGTTTCTCAGATTATTTTTGTTTTTGGTAACCTTGTCAGGTTTGAGGAGTGCTGGTCAGGTAGGTATATTTTAGGGTGCTCTTCTGTTGGAATTTGATATTTTTCTCATGATTGGACCAGACTTATAGAGGTTTTTGGGATGATGACCACAGAGATAAAGTGCCATTTTCATCACACCATACTTATGGTGTACATTGTTTACGTGATTTACAACTGTTGATATTGATTACTGGCTGAAGTAGCGTTTTTAAGGTTTCTGCTACAAAGTTAATCTTTGCATTTCCCCCCCTTCCATACTGTACTCTGGAAGAAAGTCACTATGTACAGCTCACACTTAAGGAGTGGGGAGTAATGCTTCCCCTTTTTTAGATAGGGTAGCTGTGTAATTTATTTGGAATTCTTCTGCATGAGAGATTTGTCTCCTATTTCTTCAGTTATTTATCCATGGATTTATGGATATTTATTTTGTACTTTGAGTTATAATCCAGTACCATTGTCTTTTTTTTGTTGCTCAAATTGTTCTAGCTTTGGCTGTTGGGAGCTCTTTCAGTTGTCTCCTGTGTGCATTTGACTCTCATCATTGTGTATATGTGTGGGTGTGTTTTAACACTTCCATACTTCCTGGCATTAAAGATATTGTCAATAAAAGATACTCCAGGCTCATTCTGTATTTCTTTCCCCAGTCTTAGAATCAGCTATTTCACCAAGGAGCCTTGCTTCCTTTTATTGGAAAATGGTATTAGAAACCAAGATCTGGTCCCTGTATGAGCTTGTTGCTACTGGGGTGTTGTTTCTTTTAAGCCTTCTTACCTGACAGAGCAAAGAAGTACATGTGTATATACTTGTATACAAATATCTATAAATGTTTGTGTGTATAACCATCTGGATCTATATTAAGTTAAACACGAGTTCTTGCTGATGTCTCCAACTCTAAGCCTTTACCACATAGATCATACTAGCCACCTCCTTTTGCTTATTTGTAAATTCCCACTCTTAACAGTGAGATATCTGGCTCCCACCACTGTCATCCATTGACTTGGTTCCAGTATACAAGTATGGTGGTAGAATTGTTAATTATATGCAGTTCCTTTTGTCTTTAGTTTTACAGACACTCTTTCTAAATGACTGCTTTTTTTTAAATCTAAAATTATGTTTATTATTTAATTCTCACAATTATTCTGTAAGGTGATAGTGTCATCATTATGTAGAGGAGAAAAATGAAAACTCAAAGGAATTACAGAAGGGATGGAGCTGAGATTTAAGGTCTTCCTGTTTCCATAGCCCATCTCCTTGCCAAGTAAGAAACTTGGGTTTCTTACTAGGTCACTTAAAATCTAGTTAAGAGGATGAGGTAGGAGTATTTAAAAATTAAATACAAAGTTATAAGGTATTTTAGACTATAATAGAAAATATAAGGCAAATATAGGATAACTTAATGATTTTGGGGGCCATAATCTAATGGGCAACTGATTTTTTTTTCCAGTTTATTTTACTTTTAAATAACACTGGAAAGCCTCTTTGCTTTTCACTTTTGGGTAGCCTTATTTTTCTTCCCACTGCCTCCCTCACCTTTTTAGGCCTATGTGTCAGCCATGCTAATGTTGCACCATTGGTGTCTTTCAGGAAGTGAGTGCTTTTGGTGAGGAAGGTGAAGGCGATTACCTGGATGACTGGACAGTGCTCTGTAATGGGCCTTACTGGGTAAGGGATGGTGAGGTACGATTCAAGCATTCTTCCACCGAGGTTCTGCTGTCTGTCACAGGAGAACAATATGGTCGACCCATCAGTGGGCAAAAAGAGGTGCATGGCATGGCCCAGCCGAGCCAGAACAACTACTGGAAAGCTATGGAAGGCATCTTCATGAAGCCCAGTGAATTATTGAAGGCAGAAGCCCATCACGTAGAGCTGTGAGTCTGAGTGCTTTAAGCCACTGTTACCACACAGTGTTCATAGACATCTGCTGCTGCTTCACCCTGGGATCCCTGCCCCAGGTTTCCTGGGCAGTGGCCATATCATCACTGAGATGCAAGACAGAAAACAGCGGCTGTGTTTGGAAGCTTCAGGCCTTGACACTTGAATTGGTTGCTCTCCCATACTTGGGTCAGTTCATTTTGAGTACAGGACGTGCTGCTATAAGAGAAGATGCTTTTTATTTATACTGATACAAGAGAAAGTAAGGGAGATATCCCTCCTACCAGGGAAATTTTTACTACTCAGAAGCTTGGCATCATTTATAAATGTAAATGTGTGTGACTTTCCCTCTACTTTCTTTCTCCAAAATGATAAAAAAAAGTTCATTGTTAGTCACTGTGTTGTCATTTATTAGGTGTGCTATTTCATTATCTCATTAATCTTTGAACCCTAAGAGTCATTGCTATCACTCTTCTGAGATGCTTGGAACCTTTGGTGTGGGTTCTTTCAAGAGGTTTACTTGCATCCAAACTCTTTCTCTCTACTTTGACTTCTCACCCAGCACCTCATCTTTATTAGATTTATGGTTAAAGACTCAAAGAATACAACTTAATAAATAGCCAATGAAATGCTTTACTCTAGATCTGTTACTATAGTTGAGAAGGGATGGGATAGAAAGAGGAACCAACATTCACTATCCGCTAAATATTACAGATCTTACCTCAGGTAATCTTCCCAGATACATTATAGGGTAGACAGTACAGTTTTATTAATGCAAAACTGTATTATTTTTAGAAACTGTACAGAAAAGTTGAGTAACTGCCTGAATTGTTAAAACTACTGAATAAGGATAGAATTCAACTCTATCTGGTACATGTTATTTTTACTACACTACCATTGTGTTTAGCTTTTGGGGAAGATAACTGTTCTTTTTTGGACAAATGTAGGGATACCTTTCTGTGAAAAGGGGACTAGAAAGCTTGTTCTATGCTTACCTCATTTCTTCCTTTTCTCTGCTGGTCAATTAAATTTGCTCCTATGTCCTTCAAACATGGTAATGATGAACTGAGGTGTCTGCCATCTGCTGGAATTGAGTGACTGCAGGCCTTTTCATCTTTAGAAATGTCTGGATTTTTTTTTTCCTAATTGGCAGGGAGTTCACGAATATTTGGGGATACCAGATCTGTGCCAGATATGGCCCATGACATTAAAAAAAAAGGCGCATGATCTCTTTTACAAGGACTTGTTTCAATAAATTGAGGCCATGAAGTATTTGAGCTCCATCTCTGCCCTCTCTCAGCTCACTTCAGGCATCAATCCCTTGAGATCACTCCAGAAATAAGTAGACAAATGGTTAAAATAATCATTTGGGCTATTAAGATACTTAGGAGTAGGGTGGAAACAGTGCAGAGGAGGAGTTGATAGGAACCACTTGAATAAAGGAAATACTTTGGACAAGATAAATGAGTAGGGAGGTGTGTTGCAAGGTACACTCAGCTTGGGGATGGAGTTTTCACTGCTTTTTTTGGGAGGCTACCGATTATAAGGAGAATGGCAGAATTATAGTGCTTGAGAGAGGTTATTACCTTGAAATAAATAGCGGTAGAGCCCTTGGGAGTTGTGCAATGACTGATGAAACGACTAGGTAAGGAAGGAATGGAGTTGGAGGGGTAAAAGCAACTTCGGGCAACCCAGGTGAAAGTTGAAATGGTACTGTATTTGAAGAAGTGGGAAAAGGGTCGTCAAGTAAATCTTGAATGATGCTTATGGAGATGAGGACGTGAGAGCAAATGACACCTGAAGTGCTTACTTTAAAATCCTCATAACTTCTTTACCTTACACTGTATTAGCATAACCTTACTAGAGTTGGAAGAGACCCTTTGTTCGGTTCATTTCACAAAGAAGGAAACAGGCAAAATAAAGACCCTGAATTCTCCATCTCGTGTTATGTAGATAAACATTTGTTGCTGAAGGGCAAGAACAATATTCTCTACTTCTGTTAAGTATCTCCTAGCCCTAGTTCCCTGACTGTGCTACACACAGTAGACACTGGAAGCTTCGACGATGCTGGGTCCAGAATAGTGCTGCCTCCACAACCGGACCATATGTATTAACTGGTTAGAACAGTATTCAAAATGAATTAAAAACTCATCGCTTTGTGCACGGAATGGGGTGGGATTTTTGAGGTCTTTCAATTACCTCTTGGTTTTCTCAATGATTTTCAAACAAGGCTCTTGAGTAAGAGTTACTTTGTAGGACTTGCGGTTTTAACTTACGCAGTTTCCTCAGTCCAGGCCGTAAGTGGACAAGACGACTCTGTAACCAACCCAGGAAATTGTTTTGAAAGTGGACCTCTCCAGTCCGGCCTGTCGCAGCCTGGGGGCCTGCGCCCAGCTCTGCTCTTCCGGGTGCCAAAGGGTGCGTCGGGAGGCGGGGCGTGTGTGTCAGCCTGCGCGAGGTCCGCTCCCCAGCGCCCGCCTTCCGGAGCTCCGCCTTCGCGCTCGCAGCCAGTCGGCCCTGCCAAATCCCTGGCGCGGGCGGGGCGGGGAGACAGCTGGCTGGCTGATGGGCTGCTAGGGGCGGAGCGTACGCGCGCCAACGCTACCTCGCCCAGCACTGTCCCTCCGCGCGCGGCTATTCGGCCGGCGGCGGCGCATCGCGGGGCCTACGTTGGCCGGGGGGCCGGATCCAGGCCGGGCCTGACGGGGGCTGGGATGCCTCTATTCTTCTCCTTGTTGTTGGCTTTCTTGTTGGTTGCGCTCAGCGCCCTCTTCCTAGGCCGGTGAGGGGATCCCGGCTGCGGCGGGGGCAGCGGGGAGGAAGAGAGACTGAGGAGGGGGCGCGCGCCGCACAGAGGCTCGCGGGAGGGGGAAGGGACTGCAGGGAACCGAGCGCGGGCGGAGGAGGCGGGGGTGCGGGGCGCGCGGCGTGCGGAGGGCCTGGGCGGGGGCGTGCGGCGGGAGCTGGCGCCGTGGAGCTGAGAGTGGGGGCGAGGCAGAGGGAGCTGGGGAGGCCTGAGGAGATGCAGAGAATGGGAGCTGAATGGGTGTGTGCGTGAGGAAGGGCCCGGTTCGGTGGTCTCCCTTTCCCCCTCCACACGCCCTAAGTGTCCCCCTCAGCGAGAGCGAAGGGCACCTGCAGCCTCTCCCTGGGGACCCGGAACAGGTTTGGCTGCCCAGGGGAGGGCAGCATTTCAGCTGGCCGGGCGTGACCTCGCAGTGCCTTCTCGCAGATCCCTGTCTGGAGGGCAGCAGAGACCCTTTGGGGAGTGTGGGATGACATATCTGACACGGCTGCCTGTACTTCGACTTCTCTTGGGGCCTCTTCTCTTTACCTCTGAGGTTCCTAGGGATTTAAGGGATTGCATTCTTTGTCCTCAACTTGGAAGGTGGAGTTTTAGTTTGTCTTGATTTCGTCTAGCTGGAGAGGACACTGGGGCTAGGGTCCTGATCAGGGTGGCTGAGTACATGTGCCACCGTGGTGTTCTGGGAGACAGGAGAATTGTCCAGAAGATCCAGCTTCAGGATCTGAGCTTTTGCCAGGCATTCTAGGACCAGCAAAGGGTCAGGGAAGCTGTAATTGGGAGAGGGTCCTGTGAACTCACAGGGATTTTTTTTCAGGTGGCTTGTGGTCAGGTTGGCCACCAAGTGGTGTCAGCTAAAGCTGCAGGCGGAACTAAAAATTGGCTCCTTTTTTTGGATCCAGAATGTTAGTCTTAAATTTCAACAGCATCAGCAAACAGTGGTGAGTCCTGGGGAACTCCCTGGGTATGTGTGTAGGGTTGATTTAGTTGAATTTTAACTTCTAATTTCCTTTTACTAAAATTCTGGGTGGCTGTCCTAGTTAACCCAGCCTTGTCAGCTCTTCCCCGAGATGATCTTAGAGTTAGTTTGGCACTACTTGGATTGATACAAGTTGTTCAGCTAAAAATGCTTATAAGGCACAGCGTGTCCAGAGCATATAAGAAAGATATAGAAATAAAGCACAGAACAAAGATGACAGGAAATAGAAGAGCTCACTGTTCTAATTTAAGAGAGGAAACAGGACAACATATCCATAAAAGAGAAATACTAAGCAAGTTCAACTAATGTCATCTTGAGGAACAGGATGTAGTGCTGAGGAGGGAAACTGGTGCAAATGGAATGAGGACTGTTTAGTGCAAGGGCTACAGTACTTCCTTCTCTTCATAGAATCTTTCCTGGCTTGTCATGCTGCTCATGGTTTACCTGGCAGCTAGTGTACAAGGCTTTCTCCCACACTGTTTTAGGAAATTGATAGCCTGTGGATTTCCAGCAAACTCCTTAGCCATGATCTACTGTGAGTACCCCATATCCTCATTCTTCCCCTGGGGATTATTTTAAGTGGGGTTTGCAGAATGAGATTCCTCTACAGAGGCCTCACAGCCCAAGGAGGGAAGTGGGTCTTGCTGATGTCTTCTTGTTTAGCCTGGAAACTATTATCTTGTGAGACAGATGTTTATAACTACTGAGACAATTTTCCATGATTTGAGCTACATTTCTAGGGAGGATGGGAGAGTGAATGTGGGGGAGGGGAAGAGACTTCTGTGGAGGGGATGGGCCTGATGGAGTGAGGTTTCTCTTCTGGCCAGACGTTATGTGGCTTTGTGCTTTGGAGAAGTGTGTATCAGAACGGACCTACAGAAGGTTTCTGGCCTGTTTGCCCCATTCTCCCAGAGCACTGGGGTGCATCAGAAGGAGCTGTCCTTCAGCCCATTCTTATTGAAGATTTTCTGCCAGGTGAGACGACTTCTCCCACTCCTGAACTGTACAAGGGATGTCTGACTTTGGAATCATGGGTGGATTTTTCTGTTGTTTTGGGGGCATAATACTGAAAGCTGCCTGTTACTCTTTCTCCACTGGAAAGGAAAAACAGTGCCTTTGACATTAGTTATTGTTCATCTTTGCTTCTTCCTTCCAGCTATTCTCCATTCATGTAGATTCCATAAACATCATGGTTCTCAAGGTGGCTACTTCTGAGTCTTTGTGGCATATTCAGATCAGAGAAAGCAGCTTTCTTTTGGATAGTGATGGGAAAAGGTAAGCACTGGGTAGAAGAGTGTCTGCTAGTCCCATTCTTGCCTTACAGCTGTCGCAGGGTGGGTGGATGTCAGGGCTTTCTGTCAAGGTGTCAAGTTCTCATTCTGTGTCTGTGAGGAGAGACTAAGATTAGGTACTTCTGTTTGCCTTGTTACTTTCAGCCCACAAAGCTTGACTGAAGCCAGATGGTGAGGAAAGGGACCAAGTGGTCTTAATTTTCTTCCTTTCCTAGGCTAAAATGTGAGGTGAGCCTAAGTCAGATCAACAGCAAAGTTCTAAAGAGTGGCCAGCTGGTGAGTATGCCATGGCCATTCAGATGCCTTGTTTCCTTATGGTTATAAGGTATGAAGGAGCTTAGGGCTTACATTCTAAATTCTGTGCCCTTATGGGGTTCCCATAAAGGAGTGTCCCAGACCACTGCATTTAGGCCCCAAACTCCCAGACTCTATACACATTCATATCTTAGAGGCTTTCCTCTCTGCAGGAGGACACCTGCCTGGCAGAGCTCTCACTGGCCCTAAAGCTGTGTCTAGAAGTGGGCATCAGCGGTCGGCAGCTGAAGGCAGTCACTGTGGATGTATGGACACTCCATGCTGAACTGCATGAGGGCCTCTTCCATAGTCAGCTGCTGCGCCAGGGCCCAAGCCTGGCACCCAAGTCTGTTCCTTGTTCAGGTAAAGGTCCAGTCAGTGAGCTTCTTGGCTGCCATGTTCTTACGTTATTTTGAAATTAGAAAATAATAGTGGTCTCATTACTCATTCAGGTGTGATTTGTTAATCACCATGGCCTTTGACCCTGAGGATAGCTAGAGGAAATAGGGCATTTGCTTGTGATTAATGACAGTGGATAATTGTGAATTAGACCTGTAGTTTGTGCTTTCTGTATGTTCTTCCACTAAATTCTTAGCATTTCACAGATGAGAAAACTAAAGCCTAGGAAAATTAGATAGACAACTTGACTGAGGTTACACAATCAGTAGCAAAAATGGACTTTAAATTATTTGACCCTAAAGTCTGTATTCTTTGCATTATACCAGCCTGCTCCCTATACTACCTTTTAGACTGTAGGGAAGGAAGTAAGTTATGGCAAGTGCCTGATTCTCTGAGATATTTTCCTGGTGGCCTAAGATTGGGCATTTGCTTAGATTAGTTTATGTGGGAGGTTTTGGTGAAAGAGGGTAGGGCATTTTGGGAGACTTTAGAGTGTTAAGGATTGATGGTCCTTGTATCATTCATTCCCATTTTCAGAGGTGACAGAGAACTTGGCTGAGCCAACTCTGCCTGGCCTGTACCTCCTTCAGCAGCTGCCAGACCAAGTCAAGGTGAAGATGGAGATCACAAGTGTGGTGCTGTCCATGAATAGTCAAAAGAGGTGAGATCATTCCTAACACTGAAGGATGGAGAATGATAGCTGGAGCTATATGTTGGGGTCTCCATAACCAGCCTGGTAGCTGCTCTGAGCTTGTCTGTGGAGAAAAGGGAATAAGAATGGCATTCCACATACTCAAAACCAGCATCTGCCTCTGGTCCAGGTACCTGAATGGGACACTGAAGCTGCTGCATTTCCTGTACCACCGTGATGAGGATAAGCTGCCCCTTCGAGGCTTCACAGCAAACTCTGATATGGCACAGATGAGCACTGAACTCCTACTGAAAGGTTCATGGGTGGGGATACTGCTGAGATGAATGGGGGTGGCCAGATACTTTCTTCTTGGTTAATTAGTGTACCTGGGGAGGATAATGAGGGAACTACTGAGAAACATAGCTGCAACTCACGAGTGTTGGTGACAGTGTGTTCATTTCCTTGCCTGCCCTGACCTCTCTTGGTTTTCCCTTTTGCCTTCTCCTCTGATCTGCCCTTTGTCCTTACAGACGGGTTGCTGCTATCTCAGAGCCGCCAGCGCATTGTCTGCCTCAGCTCCCTCAAGGCCAGTGTGCAGGTGTGATGACCTTAGTACTGAGAATCAATCCTTCTCTGCTCTTCCCCTATGTGATTACATTATGAGCTAATGAAATAAAACCCAAGCCCACAGTTCCACTGTTCTCATTTCCAGGTGACGACGATTGACCTCTCGGCCTCCCTGGTTCTAAACACTTGTATTATTCATTACCGGCACCAGGAATTCTCTCACTGGCTGCACATGCTTGCCCTGGAGGCACGAGGATCTAGTTCATCTCTTAAGCAAAGAAAAAAAAGGTCTGTGTAATCTTCAGCTACTATCTTACCAGATGGATTCCTGGATTCTCTTTTGATCTAAAGTGACATGTTGTGTTAAATATATGTCTGGTCGTTTGATCTCCTTTACTCTCAGTCTCAGTAGCAATCCTATTTTATGTATCTTTCCCACATTTGACTAGACTCTGTTGGTAGGATGATGTTATCAGTGCTCAGCACAGTGGCTTATACAAAATAAGCATTTGTTCGACTGAACTTAAATGATGAACAGTATCCTGTCTGCCTTAGATAATGGTGACAGGTCATGTCAGCAGTGCCATCTCTCTCTCAGTGTAATGCTTTCATTGTGTTGTACAGAGAACTTAAGGCTAGTGGCTTGGAAGTGATGCCCCTTGATTGCATTAGGTTGAATCTTACAATATGTGTATATTTCCATTATTTGTTCTATGAAATGACAAATTTCAAATGGTTCAACCTGTTATCTTTCTAGTGTCCCTGCAGATTACCATCAGAAGTAGCAGCAAACAGATGGGTTCAGTCTTTTATTTTCTAGTTGCATCCTATCCTAAGAATCACACAAAACTCACCCTGATTTTTGAGAGCTTTAGGAATCCATTCCATGACAGGAAGCTGCAGTTCTATTCTTATCAAACAGTGATGTCTTGTTCCTATGCAGAATCTTCCCCCAAATCCTTGCTCCTGTCATCTTTAGCACCTCAATCTCCAATGTCAACATTTCCATTCAGCTTGGAGACACACCGCCTTTTGCCTTGGGATTCAATTCCATCTCTCTGGGTAAGGCTCTGGGATGGAAAAGGAAAAAGAATTTGTCCATAATTAGAGCTGTGCCCAACTGATGATAACAGTGGCTCCATAGAACTCCTTTCTCCCACCTTCTTTTTTCAGATTACCAGCACTTGAGGCCACAGAGTATCCATCAGCGGGGTGTCCTGTCTGTGGACCACCTCTGCTGGCGGGTGGGTAGTGATTCCCACATTCAGCGAGCATCCCACCCACCCAATATGCATGTTTGGGGTGAGGCGCTTGTCCTGGACTCGTTCACACTACAGGTAGGTGGGGACTTGGGTGAACAAAGGTGCATACAGTTGTCTCATCCTGCCATGCTTTATAATACTGAGCTCCTTTGGGGCTGCAGATGATGCATCAGCATATTACAGAACTGTGTTTTTACATGCTTCTAATGGGGTCCCTCTGCTGCTTTTCTAGGGTAGCTATAACCAGCCACTGGGACTGTCCAACACCCAGTCAGATACCCTCTTTCTTGATTGTACCATCCGAGGACTGCAGGTAGAAACATCAGATACCTGTGCCCAGTGTCTGTCTCGGATCTTGTCCTTAATGGGCCCACAGTCTGGAAAGTCAGCTGTCTCTAAGGCATCTTCCTTTGGAGAATGTGTGTCATTACTGTGGAAGGTGGACTTGAAGGTGGAGGACATGAACTTATTCACCCTTTCTGCCCTGGTTGGTAAGTGAGAGAGGGAGTCTACTGAAGTGGATCGTGTACCCTAAGCAGGTGATGCTGGTTCCATCTACTCCTTCTCACTTAATGGAGCTGGTTATTTGGAATTTTTCTAAACAAAAGACACGAGATGCTAGGTCTTGCATAACGATTGGACTTTTTGATATTTCTTAAGGGTTTATAAAAGGTTAAGTATTATGCAAAATGTTTAAGAAAAAAAATACCTGGCTATCTGATCAAGAGAATGAAATGCATGTGTTTTTTAAATTTCCTTTTGTGTATAGTCCTAGAGAGTAGCATCTCTGGGGAATTTATAGGCCTTAAGATGGGAAGGAAAAATTTCCCTAAACATGAGGCATGAACTTAGGGAGGAGTGGGGAATAAAGATAACGAGAATGAAGGGAATAAGTAAGAAAGGAGAGTGAGGACTGAAGTTGGCATTTGAGAACCAAGAACCAAGGCTGACATGGTTTCTGGACGTTAGGTGCCTCCGAGGTTCGACTGGACACACTGACTGTCCTGGGAAGTGCTGAAACCTCCATTGTGGGTATCCAAGGACTTGTTCTTGCACTGGTGAAGTCGGTCACTGAGAAGATGCAGCCCTGTTGCAAAGCTCCGGACATCCCTGTGCCAGTGTTCAGTCTCTGCATGCTTTCCATCACCTATCATAGCAGCATCCACTCTTTAGAGGTAATGCTTCCCTGCACTGCTGGATGCAGGTTGATTCTTCCTGATTATATTATCATTCCTGATTAGAAATTAGAGTATTTCCCACTCTCTTGAGTCATGTGAAACTCATCTAAGATGACACTTTGTGTTATTTTTTCCTGGCTCGTTCTGTACATTTTTAACTCTACTTATGGAACTTAAAACATACAGAAAACTAGAGAATATATGTTCTTTCGTATATCCATACCCAACTTCAAAAATTTGCCAATTTATGACCAGTTTGTTTCAGCTATTCTCTCACTGACCACTCAAGATTATTACATAGATACTAGACATATAATTCCAACTGTAAATATTTCAGTGTACATCTCTGGAAAATAAGGGGCTTCTTAAAGATAATGATCTGGTGTCATTTTGCCAAAGTACTCAGCTTATCAAAGGCTGGAAAGGTTCTGAAGATGGAGGCACTAGCAAGTGTTGAGAAGCTTTGTGATATCTTTCTCCTCAGGGTGTCAGGTGGGCATGGGGCCTTCTTGGGAGGAGAGTGGGTTTTCTTTCTGTTTGTCAGACTTCGTCTTCCTTTGGATAGTTTTCAGAGACTGGAACTCAAAAGGAATTTTTTTTGTCCTGGAATTTAAATTTTCTTTGCATAGATACTCAGAACTGACTATGGACTTAATTCCTTTCTTTGAGACATACTTTCACATAAGTCAGTTGCTGCATTGACTCGTGTGGTCAGTACTTTTAATGCTTTTTAAGAATTAAGTCAAGGTGCAACCAGTGCATGAAACATTTTCAAATTCATTGTTACCATAGTTATTACAGAAAGTGGCAGTTACGGAAAAATAGCTCATGATCAGAAACATAAAGCCAAGTGATCTGAGTATGTGCCATGTGCACTGGGTGTGCTGTGGTAGATACCAGGGAATTAAAACACATGGCCTCTACTCAATTTATAGTCCAGTTAAGGAGAACTTAAAAAGTGTAAATGCTCTTAAGTATAAGGTAAACAGGAATTATTTGCTCAATGTATTAATGCTATGGGAACAAACCAAGGGAGTAATTAACATGGTTACTCAGGAAAGACTTCTGGGTGGAGATGGTTCTTGACCCAGGGGTGCCTGTATAACAATCCCTGCCATCTCTTCTGTTCTCGGACACTGTAGTTGACAGGTGCTTTTCTCTTGCTCCCTAAAGGTTCAGTGTGGAGCAGGGCTGACCTTACTCTGGAGTCCCCCAGATCACATGTATCTGTACCAGCACATCCTGGCCACCCTGCAGTGCCAAGACCTACTAAAATCCACTCTTTTTCCCAAGACTGTGCCATTCCTTGCACTAGACACCCCAGGGGTTGCTGCTGAGCCAGAAGACCATCCCCCTGAGCAGTATTCCCCAAAGCGGCTGCTAAACCTGACACTAGAGGTGAGCACAGCCAAGTTGACAGCTTTTGTTGCTGAGGACAAGTTCATTACCCTGGCTTCAGAGAGTGTGTCGTTGAGCTGGCATGGGTGTTCGCTGCAGGCTTATTGCCCAGAGCTGGCTGCTGGCTTTGATGGCAATAACATCTTCAACTTCAAGGAAGTGGAGGTACAGCTGCTGCCTGAGCTGGAGGAGATGATCCTTCACCGGAACCCCTTCCCTATGCTACAGACCCTCCGGAACCGTGTTTGGCTCCTCTACCTGGGCTCAGTCTCAGTGGAGTTTCCTTATCAGTATGATTTCTCTCAAACTCTGGATGAGGCCATGGGAGTTCAGAAATGGCTGAAGGGGCTGCATCGAGGAACTCATGTTCAGGCCTCCCCAAGCTGTGCCCCACTCCCTCCTGATCTACTCCTGAAGGTTCAGCATTTCTCATGGGTTTTTCTGGATGACATTTTTGAAGTGAAGCTTCGTGATAACTATGAACTGATGAAGGATGAAAGTAAGGAGAGTGCCAAAAGGCTGCAGTTGCTGGATGCCAAAGTGGCTGCCCTTCGGAAGCAGCATGGGGAGTTACTGCCAGCCCGCAAAATTGAGGAACTCTATGCTTCTTTGGAGCATAAAAATATTGAAATTTACATCCAGCGCTCCCGTCGTCTCTATGGCAACACACCCATGCGCCGGGCACTGCTCACTTGGAGCCTGGCAGGGCTAGAGCTTGTGGCTCTGGCAGATGCCTCCTTCCATGGGCCTGAGCGTGTGGTAGAGCAAGTTAGAGAGCTTGATCCAGGCAGCCCTTTTCCTGCCGAGGGAGTAGATCTTGTCATTCAGTGGTGTCGTATGCTCAAGTGCAGTGTCAAGACTTTTCTGGGTAAGTAGTGCTTCCTTATTTGCAGAATCTGGTGTTTGCCCTTGGAGCTCCAGGGAGCTCTTTGAGCAATTACAGAGGTGCTTGGTTATACTGGGAACTGTGGCTGTTTTTTGGATGGGTGGAGTAGAATGGGTGGGCTCCACTTCCCTTTCTTTGTTCCTAAATTTTACCCTGAAACTGCTTGGCTAACCTAAAGGAACAAATAACACAGTCATCTTTAGGGTTACTGTAGCTCTTGCATCTCAGTGTTACTCCCTTCACCATCTGCTTAGGGTTGCCGTGCCATTTTTCAGCTTTGTTACCAACTGCCAGTTCTTGTTCTGTCAGCTGGCTGTGTAAAGTAGATGGATAAAAGGAGTGGCAGGGGAAAAAAATGCCTGAGAGTGTTGAGACAGTCCCCTGAGTAGTCAGTGTGTATCCTCCCCATCATAACAGTTCGGATAAGAGACTATCCCCGGTACCTGTTTGAGATCCATGACTGGCGGCTGATTGGTCGACTTGTGGGCACTGAGCAGAGTGGTCAGCCTTGCTCCCGCCGGCGTCAAATCCTGCACTTGGGGCTTCCATGGGGTAACATGGCAGTGGAGAGGAACATGCTCCCACTCAAGTTCTACCATGACTTCCGCTGTGAGTAGAGGAGGGTGGTTGGTTTGGCTGAGGAATGTTGTGATGGCTGAGGTGGGAGATGAGCTGAAGCCCTCTGGAGTGACGGAGAAAGAGAGCGATGAAGTTGTATAACAAGCTGTCCTTATTGCCCCTCTATCCAAGCGGAGATCTTCCAGTACACAGTGGTGTGGGGCCCATGCTGGGATCCAGCCTGGACACTGATAAGCCAATCTGTGGACCTCTTGACCAAGCCCTCAGCTGACCCCAGCCCACCCTTGCCCTGGTGGGACAAAAGCCGTCTTCTGTTCCATGGGGACTGGCACATGGACATTGAACAGGCAAATCTGCACCAGCTGGCTACTGAGGTGAGGGATCCAGAGCTGCTTTCTTATTGGGATGGTATGGTTGGGGCTTGTATAGCACATGGGGAGGAGAGAGAGGTACTGATTTGGGAGGTGAGGGTCATACTCTTACCATGTCTCACTGAGTTCTTGGGGGGTGGTTATAGGATCCATACAACACAACTGAAAATATGCACTGGGAGTGGAACCACCTGTCTTTTCATTGGAAACCTGGTCAGTTTGTGTTCAAGGGTGACTTGGATGTCAACGTGAGAACAGCCTCTAAGTGAGTGGACTGATGGGAGGGCCTCAGCGACGTGAGGAACTCAGGGTGGAGGGAGAGGGGAAGGGCCACGGGGCTGCAGTGGCCAGGGCACTGAGGGCTGCGGCTCTGTTGTGAGGCAGGTATGACGACTGCTGCTTCCTTCATCTTCCTGACCTCTGCATGACACTGGACCTGCAGTGGCTATGCCACGGAAACCCCCGGGATCACTATGGTGTCACTCTGCGGGCCCCAGAATTCCTGCCTGAAGTGCCCTTAGGCCAGCTGTACGACTCCTACCGGGCCTTTCGCTCTGAGAATCTCAATCTTTCCATCAAGATGGATCTGACTTGGCACAGTGGGAGTGAGACTCGGTTCTGGGGAAATGGAGGGTGGGCTTAAACACTGAAGACTTCAAGTTGGCCTTTTGGGGAAGGGATAGGGAAAGAGCAAGAGCAAGGGAGGATTTGGGTTGGGGCCTTTTTTGGGAGAGGGTTGGTGAAAGCAAAGAACTTGGCTCTTTGAAAGGGGAAGGTGTTAACGGATATTGAGTGTGAGGCTGATTGCTATTAGGGTTTTTAAACCTCTAAAACTCACAGCTAGGGAAGGATTTAGCTTTATCTCTCTGTTGTAGCCACAGCTAGCAAACGTCCATCCTTTCCTTTGCAGCAATGTCCCAGCCCCGAATTCTGCTATATAGTAGTACCCTGCGCTGGATGCAGAACTTCTGGGCAACTTGGACTAGTGTCACAAGGCCCATCTGCAGGGGAAAGCTCTTCAATAACCTGAAACCCAGCAAGAAGAAACTTGGTCAGCACTACAAACAGCTTTCCTACACTGCACTGTTTCCCCAGCTGCAGGTCAGGCTCTGATGGCCCTGCTAACATCTTCAGTTCTGTTCCCCTTCCCTAGGTTCCTTGTTTTCTCTGATCAGAGAATCTCTCTGATGCTGTCCTTCATTTATTGTTATGCTATCTTGTTACCAGGTGCATTATTGGGCCTCTTTTGCCCAACAACGGGGCATCCAAATTGAGTGTAGTCAGGGCCACATCTTCACTCGGGGAACTCAGCGGCTTATACCTCAAGGTAAGGTCAAGAGTCCCTTTGTTTCTCACAACCTGCTGTCCTCTTCCCTTCTCAATTCCCTTCATGTCTTGCCCGTCTGCCCCACACTCTTCTTCTGTCCTGGTCTGCAAGTGCTCTGTTTTCTCCCTTCTCAGTGGGCACCGTGATGCGGCGCCTCATCTCTGACTGGAGTGTGATGCAGATGGTTAGTGACCTGAGTCAGGTGACTGTTCACCTGATGGCCTCGCCCACTGAAGAGAATGCTGACCACTGCCTTGATCCCATGGTGACAAAGACACACCTCCTGAGCCTGTCATCCCTCACCTACCAGCGACATAGCACTCGTGCTGCTGAGGAGGTACCGCCTGGCATTCTCTTAAGCTACCTTATTTCTGTTGAAGATGTCTTAGTCTGCTCGAGCTGTCATAACAAAATACCAGACTGGGTAGTGTAAACCTCATACTTCTTTGTCACAGTTTTGGGGCCCTGGAAGTCCAAGATGAGGGTTCCAGCACAGTTAGGTTTTGGTGAGGGTTCTCTTCTGGGTTCAGAGAAAGCTACCTTCTCCATAGGTCCTCACGGGACGGGAAAAGGGAGAGAAAACAAGCTCAGTAGTATTTCTTCTTGTAAGAGCACTAATCTCCAGAAGATTAACAGGCACAGTAATTCAGTCACACTATAGGTTGGTCATGGGGACAGTAAAACAGCTTAGAAAATACAGTAAAGGATTCTGTAACATCGTACTATCGTGATGGACAGTGACTGCACTGGAGGGGTGAGGACTTGATATAATATGGGTGAATATTGAACCACTGGGTTGTGTATTTGAAACTAACATAAGATTGTACATCAATAATACTTTTAAAAAAACAACACTAATGTCATCATGATGGCCCCACCCTCAGGACCATCTAAGTCTGATGGCCGCCTAAAGGCCCCATCTCCAATATCATCACACTGGCGATTATGGCCTTGATACATGAATTTTTCAGGGACACAGTTCGGTCCATAGCAGTGGGTTTCAGGCTAAATCCCTGGTAATGTTCCTAGCTATATTCTAAGCATATATGTCATTATTTTATGATGAACTCACTAGTTATCTGTATCAGCCTCCCTTTTTGAAAGTTCTTTTTCTCCATCACCTTCTAAAGATTGTCTCTTGCCCTATAGGAAATAGAATAAAATTTTTTTACTAGCACCTTATATGGTATTTTTCTTTTCCCAATTAAGGATTAAGTTATATAAGATACAGTGAGTATAATCAGACTGTAATTTAATGCTAAAATTTAACTAAGATCCCTTAGTTTTTCTTTATCCAAGATCTTCTTATCTCCTCTAGAACAGGTTTCTTATTCAGAAAGCTTGTTTTCTTATCTCTGCATCTGTGGTCCAGGAGGAATGGTGGAAATTTCCATGCTGCCCTGAGTTTCTTTTCCTGTTTTTAGGATATGTCTACTCGAGTTGGGGATCCTGCCTTTTACACACACCAGCTGCACCTTGTAGATTTACGGGCTTCATGGACAACCACCAATCGAGACATTGCCTTTGGTTTATATGATGGCTACAAAAAGGCAGCTGTACTCAAACGTAATCTCTCTACTGAGGCCCTGAAGGGGTTAAAGATTGATCCCCATATGCCAGCCAAAAAGCCAAAGCAGAGTGTCCTGACCAGTGCCCCGGCCCCACCTCCTGCCAACACTCCCAGCTTTAGTGGACAGCCTGATAAGGGGTCATCAGGAGGTAAGCTGGGGAGCTGGAACTCCATAAGAGGGAGATGGAACTCTATAAGATGACGTTTGGATATATACATGGGCTTGGACAGGAGTTTGAGAAGGACTGTGGTTCTTCACCATTTAGGTGTAGCGATAAAAACTTGGTTTTTACCAGGCCACCTAAGTCTTACATAGCAATGATATGGGGGCATTAAAGGGCCTAGTCCTGTGGTCAGCTTTAGAAAAGGATCAGGAAGGAGTGATGGGGCCAAACCAGGGTGAGTAAGGGAAAGAAGCCAAAGATTAGAGAATTGTTTTGTGTTTTGATATAATTCACAGTCAACAGATACTTACTGAATACTTACCAGGGACAAAGCGCAGTCCTGGGTTCAGCGAGGAATACAGAATGTATGACATTCTACTTGCCTGAACAAGTTTATTATCCCTGGATGAGTCACTCATTTATTCATAAATTCATTTCAGCTTTATTGAGGGTTTATCTTCTATTAGACATGACCCTAGACATTAGGGATGCAAAGATGAGGGGGATCTCAGAAACTAGTAGATTGAGAGACATATAAATTATTATTTCATTGTGAAAGAGCATTGTGAGAATGTTCAAGAAGAAATCAGAAAGGGAAGTCTAGAACAGCTTTATAGAGGAAATAATTGAGATGGGTCTTAAAAGATAAGAGTTTAATAGGCAAGGCAAGGGGGCATTTTAAACAGAGGAAATAACAAGTAGAGAGGAATGCGCGGTTATGGTGAGTTTAACAAAAAGGTAAAAAGGGATAAATGTCACAAAAGAAAAATTAAATATAGTTGTTCTTGCTTGGAGTAAAGGAGGAAGTTTGACCATAGAAGGGTTTATTGAAAAAGTGGCATTTGAGCTGTAACTTAAAGGGCTTAGTATGGTTTGAACATGTAGAAATGGGGAAGAAGCCTTCAAGGCAGAGGGAATGCCCTGAATAGAAGTGGAGCTGGTGAAGCTCAGTATGTTCAAAGGAGAGTGAATAGTCTTGATCAGCACAGAGAGTGAAGGATAGGAGTGAGAAGGTGCTAGAAAGGAAAGCTGCAGGGAGACCATTAAAGGCCCTTATATAAGGCTAAGGAGTTTTTGTCCTTATTCAGTAGACAGTGGGAGCTACTGAAGCTTTTTGAATAGGGGTGTGTCATTAGAATTTTACTTTTAGGAAGATAAACCTGGCAGTGGTATGGAGGAGGGCTGAAGAGGAAGAAACTGGAGGTAAGGGGACAAATTAGGAAACTATTATTGTGTCTTAACAAGAGGCAATTATGAGAGCCTGAACTAAGTAGAGGTAGTGGGAATAAGGATGAGGGGATAAATAGAAAAGTTACTGTGCATATTAGAAATTGGCAACTGGTTGGAAGGAGTTAAAACAGGGAAAGGCCATAATGACTGAGGCTTTGAGCCTAGTGGCTAGCTTGATGGTAACAGTAGTATCAAAAATAGGAGAGCCAGAGGATAAACAGGTTTAGGGAAGTATAGGGTCTTGAAGTTCAGGCTTGGACATGCTGAGTTTGTGGTGCAAGTAGTACATCCAGGTAATATCTAAAAACAGCTGGAAATGGGGGACTAAATGCTTAGGGCTAGAGATAGACTTGAGAGTTTCAGCATGGACCTAATTGTTAATGCCCAGGAGATAGTAATAGTTGGTTACTATGTGCAGGTATCCTGTGAAATACTTTTATATATTATTCCACTAAATTGTCTCAACAACCCTATGAGGTAAATACTCTTACTTTAGGGGCAAGGAAACTGAGACACAGGTTAGCTAAAGATCACAGTCAAGTAACTGGCAGAGAAAGGATCTTGAGCACAGACAGACTAGTGTAATTCTGGAAACTGCTCTTAACCATACACTCTGTTAGACAAAGTTTTTACAAGAAAGAATAAGAGAAGAGAACATGCCAAGGATAGACATTAGGAGATACCTATTTCTAAGACCTGGGAGAAGAGGATCTACAGGCATAATCTGGGAATAAGGAAGCAGTAGAGCTAGAAGAAACACAGTGGCATGAATGGCAAAGTAGTAGTTTCATGTGGAAAGATGTGGTCAGCAAACAAATAGCATTTGCAATATGAAATGAAAAATCGAAGGAACAAAATGAGGGTGTGTGGCAAATGGTGCTAAAGTAATCGAGAGGTAGATATACCTAAGAGAAAAAAATACTCCCACTTAACATGGCATTTCTAAGCTTCTCTTAAAAACCTGCTACTTGTATTAAAATTGAGGGGGAAATGAAATGACAACCCTTATTTTGCCCATTGTGGTCAAGGGGTGGAGTGGAATGGGCTGGAGTTGCAGGTTGGGGAGAATATTGTGGATAAAATGAAAGTTCCTACGGCCAGGATTCTCACCTGGCCCCGGTTGGCTAGCTCACTATACATGTACAGGCAATGCGTTGCTGTTGACTCTATATAAAGAGCTCCGCCCAGTGCTCTGGGCGATACTGTGGCACAGCTGCTAGGCTGCAGGAGAGCAGAGGCTGGAGTGGTGGCAAAGCTGAGGACAGAGGCCTAGAGGACGGCTGTGCAGGATGACTCTGCAGGCAGAAGATGGCTGTGTGGGACGGCTGTGCAGGCAGAGAGGCCCAGAGGCAGAGAGCGGCTTGCTGCATGCAGACTCGCTCTGAGTGAATGGGATTTTAGTGATTGATCTGCCACCATGGAAATAAAGTTGGGTATAACCCTTTCACCCCAAGAACGTTCTACTTTCATTTCTTTGGTCACACTGAATCCATACCAAACTACTCTGGAGCTGAAACCCATTGGCAGGACAATTGGCAACAGTCGGCAGGGTTGATTGGTGACCAAGGAAAAAGAACAGGCTGCCTTCATGGAAGGAGTGTTTCAGCAGGCTGCACCTATTGACCGGGAGACATTTGAGTGTCCCCTGTGGACATGTGGCACTGTGAAGGGGTGGAGGACTGGGGTCCACCCCAAGAGAAAGCTGACTGAAATGGCGTCACTATGAAGTGCTGTGGCCTGAGGAAGCAGCACTAGAAGGAGCAGCAGCCCAAGAAGGAGCAGCACAAGAAGAAGCAGTGTGGGAGTGTGGGCTGCCAGGTGCCGTGGGGCAGGTGAAGGAAGAGACCCAAGAAGGAGCAGCAGGAGAAGCAGCAGCACACAGGCTGCCAGGTGCCGAGGGGCAAGAGAAGGATGTAGTGGAGCCGTCAGCCCCGGAAATGGAGGAGCGGAGGTTTGATGAACAGGTAGGGGTGGAGGCCCTGCTGGTGCCAAAGGCATCAGCCTCTCCTCGATTGAGACCCCACCTGGTTGAAAGCTGGTGGAAAGCCAGAAGGACTTGGTGACTGCGGGTTCCTTCAGGAGAGGTGCAGCCCCCTCCTCAGGCTGTGGAGCAGTCCATGCTCTGCTTCTATCCTCAGGCTCAAGCACAAAAGGAAAATATGGTTTGCTTCTCGAAGGAAGAACTTAAAGGGCCCGGTGAAGGTTGCGAGGACCCAGATGTGGGTTGGTTTGAAAAGGTAGGAGCAGACAGAAAGAAATTGGACTGGTGCTGTGGCAATTGAGACTGGAGCAGCGGTTCCAGCTGCCGAGAACAAAGCACAAGGCAGAGATAAAGCAAGATCGGTCTGTATGTCTGCAAGACTTTTTGCTGGAGAGGCTGGAGAAAGTGGGTATTGTAAGGCCCACCCATGGTCATTTTGGTTAACTCCTTGGAGTAGAACTGATTTGAATACAGCCAGGATGACCACTCGGTGGCAACGGATCTCCTCAGGCTTGAGGGTTATAATTTGTTAGAACTGGTTTGAATACAGCCAGGATGCAATGGATCTCCTCAGGTTTGAGGGTTATTATAATTTGTTGTAATTTTTGTTATTTGTATATTGTTGTAGCCTCTGTTGTTACGGAATTTAGTTACAATGCTCCAGCTTTCTTGCACAGGAACCATTGCAGAGGATTGAGGGCACATAGATTGAGAGGAGAGAATCCTGGAGGGGTGGAGTGTGAATAAAATGAAAGTTCCTGTGGCCAGGATTCTCACCTGTCCCTGGTCGGCTAGCTCACTGCACATGTGTGGGCAATGCATTGCTATTGACTCTAAAAGAGCCCTGCACAGTGCTCTGGGCAACATGGTGGCATGGCAGCAAGGCTTCAGGAGAGCAGAACAGAGGACAGAGGCCTAGAGGATGGCTGTGCGGGATGGCTGTTTGGGATGGCTGTGTAGGCAGAGAGGCCCAGAGGATGGCTGTGCAGACAGAGAGACCCAGAGGATGGCTGTGCAGACAGAGAGACCCAGAGGATGGCTGTGCTGACAGGCCCAGAGGACGGCTGTGCAGACAGAGAGACCCAGAGGCAGAGACCAGCTTGCTGCATGCAGACTTGCTCTTAGTGAACGGGATTTTAGTGACTGACCTGCCACCGTGGAAATAAAGATGGGTATAACACTTTCACCCCAAGAACGTTCTACTGTTATTTCTTTGGTCCTGCTGACTCCATAGCGAACTTGCCCAGGGCTGAAACCTACTGGCAAGACAAATATATTCTGAGAAATTGCAGGAAAATAAGTTTGGCCCTGAATGTGTTCCCTATTCCTTTAAGACTGACTTTTCCCCACTTGATATTTCTCTTCCAGGTGTCTACATGTTGCAGAAGCTGATTGAAGAAACAGATAGGTTTGTGGTGTTCACAGAAGAGGAGTCAGGTGTGAGTGATCAGTTGTGTGGCATTGCTGCCTGCCAGACGGATGACATATATAACCGAAACTGCCTTATTGAGCTAGTCAACTGCCAGGTACTTTCTCTTTACCAGAGCACCCCAGCATTCAACTAGATCATAATTATATGTGTTTACTTTTCCCCTGCCTCTAAATGAGAATGGGTGGTTCCAAAAATGGCTCCTTTTAGTAGGTATCATGGGTAATCACTTCCATGTCTCAAAGCCATTAGAATTCACTCAGTAATTAGACCCAGCTGTAGTCATTGGTACAATCCTCTCACTAATCTCATTCTCCCTTGGTGGCCCTGGTGCTGACTCAGCCTCTTCTCTGGCACAGATGGTTCTTCGTGGAGCAGAGACAGAAGGCTGTGTCATTGTGTCAGCTGCAAAAGCCCAGCTGCTGCAGTGCCAACATCATCCAGCCTGGTATGGTGATACTTTGAAGCAGAAGACATCCTGGACTTGTTTACTGGATGGAATGCAGTACTTCGCCACCACTGAAAGCAGCCCCACCGAGCAGGATGGCCGACAGCTCTGGTTAGAGGTCAGTCAGCAGGCCTGGGAAGGCCCGTTATATCCTGTTTTCCATATTTGGCCCTTTCCACCAGAATTGCTGCAAGGTTCTTGACAGTACCTGTTGCTACCAGCTTATCTAGTAGTATAATGAGGCTGGTAAACCTGTGAATGTAGTCTCTGGTTTTTGTCTGTCAGTGCATTGTACTTTTTTTTTTTTTTTTTAATCTCATGCTATTCTGTTTCACTGCAAGGGAAATCCTCTTTATTTTTGAGAAGTTGCTGAACCTTACTAATAGATCACACTAATTAGCAGGCAGCCAGGAAAACATAATAAGAAAATTTTAGATAAGCTCTTTATCTCCCCTTTCACCTGTCTTACAAAGATAATCGGTCATTTCAGCAAAGCAATGAGGTTGAATAAAAAGACTGCTTGTCTAGGAGTCCAGTTATATGAGTTCTAGTGTCAGCTTTGCCATTACAGGCATACTTTGTTTTATTGTGCTTGGCTTTATTACACTTTGCAAATTTTGTGTTTTTTACAAATTGAAAGATGGAGGCAATCCTGCATCAAGCAAGCCTATCTGTGCCATTTTTCTAGTATTTGTTTACTTTGTGTCTCTGTCACATTTTGATAATTCTCTCAATATTTCAAACTTTTTCATTATTATTACACTTGTTACAGTGATCTGTGATTATGACTTGACGAGAGCTCAGATGACGGTTAGCATTTTTAGCAATAAAGTGGTTTTTAATTAAGGAATGTACATTAATTCTTTAAACACAATGCTATTGCACACTTAACAGACTACAGTAGAGTGTAAACATAACTTTAATATGCACTGGGAAACCAAAAAAAATTCATTGAATTCTCTTTATGGTGGTCCTTGTTTTATTATGGTGATCTGAACTGAACCTGCAATATCTCAGAAGTATGCCTGTATGGTAGGCATGAGCCCTTGGGCAAGGCACCTGTATTTGTAAAATTTAGTTAATATTTCACCCTCATGAGATTGTCAAAAAGATAAATGAGAAAGCACTTTAAAAAATGTAAAGCTGCATCCAGATGGAAAATAGTCTCTCTCTTTTTTTTTTTTTTTTTTAAATAGTATGTCTAAGGAGGGCAAAGTGTGTCAAGGTAATGTTTTTAAATGATGAGATTGTGAGCAGTTGGCAGGGATTAGGCAGTAAATTTTCTTTTCAGTTTCTTAGTGAAACTGAATTTGTACTATAATTTCTAGAATATAGTATCGTGAGAATTACTGGGAGATCTGATGCTTATGACATGCACCTAACCAATATTCTGCATTGTCACCACTTACTTAACAGGTGTTATGTCCTCCTTGTGCTGGGCATGGTATACCCAGATGAGTTACAGCTCAGGACCAATGTGATAACTTAATTTGCCATTCTAGTCAATGGGGATAAAACTAATCCCTCTTCCTTCCTCCCTTGCTTGTGCTTCTTACTCCATTGACTTTAGGGCTCAATCCAGGCAACCTCAAGTATAGATATGTGAAGTAATAAGTAAGCATTTAATCAGATGCCAAGCAGCCAAGTCAGGTTATTGGTAATATGAGAGTTCATGCTGATATATTACAGTTGTGATTTAGACAATCGGTGCCCTTCACCAGTAGTCTCAGGAGGTAGGCACAAAGGAAATTAACTACTCGTGCAGAGGTGTCCAGGATAAGCTATGCAAGATCTCTTTATCTGGTATTTTCTGGGCCTCTGCTTCTTCTTCTTTTAGCATGCCTTCTTTTGCCGATGGACCTCTTTTTTCCCTTAACCTGTGATATTAGTGTTAGAGTGGAATGTCCTTGGCTGAGGAGGAAGGGACTTTGATATTGCTTTTCCTATATGAATGTTTTTGTGACTTGGCAGATCTGCTTATGGTCTTCCCGTGCCACTCATTCTGTTACTCACTTGGACTTCCTCTTGGCAGAGAGTCAAAAGAATTCTGTCCCCTTTACTCATGGTAACAGTGTCAGAATGGTTGTCTGAAGACAGAAAGCAGCAAAAGTTTGGTATTCACACATGTGAATACCAAGTGGGTGGGAAAGTCACTGATTTTGGTGAATTTTTTTTACCCATGACATGATTTTATCTTTCAATTTTTTTAAAATTGTGATAAAACACATATAAGATGTACTAGCCCAACCATTTAAAGTGTTCAGTTGTATTAAATACAGTCATGTTGTACAACTAGTACCACCATCCATCTCCATAACTCTTTCACTTCGTAAAACTGAAACTCTACCCATTCAACAGGGATGCCCCAGTCCCTGGCAATGGCAACCACCATTCTATTTTGTCTCTATGATTTTGAGTACTCTTAACTGTTTTATGTAAGTGGAATCATAAAGCATCTATCTGTTTGTGACTGGCTTATTTCACTTTTGTAATGTCTTCAAGATTCATCCATGTTGTAACATATGTCAGAATTTCCTTCATTTTTAAGGCTGAAGTACATCCATTTGTGGGCACTGGGGTTGCTTCCATAGTTGTAAATAATGCCATTATGATCATGGTTGTACAAATATATCTTCAAGACTCTGCTTTCAGTTCTTATGGTAAATATCCAGAAGTGGAATTGCTGGATCATATAGTAATTTTATTTTTAATTTTTTGAAGAACTGCCATACTGTTTTCCACAATGGACACCATTTGATATTCCCACCAACAGAACCTAAGACTTCCAATTTTTGCACATCCTTGCTAACACTTGCTATTTTCAACTTTGATAGTAGCTGTCCCAATGAGTGTGAGGTAGGACATGATTTGATTTTAACTTCACTTGCTTTTCTGGCCTAAGGCCTGGCAAAAAAAAATGTGCATGTTAACTTACTTGGGTTTGGAGAATTTAGGTGATTTGGGCCAGGAGGAAGCGACATATTTGTCCTTTACCATGGGAGATCCTTGAAGCTATTCTAGGCAGTGGAAGCCTAGATAGTAAGTGTAACTACTTGTACCATGGAGATCTGTGACCCAGTTGGTCAAGACAAGCTACTGATTCCCCAAGAAGTTGAAAGTGCCTATATTTTTGTCTTCATTTTTGTCTTCAGGTAAAGAATATCAAGGAACACCGGCAGCGTAGTCTGGACTCAGTGCAGGAGCTGATGGAGAGCGGGCAGGCAGTAGGAGGCATGGTCACCACCACCACAGGTCAGCTCTCCCCACTCCCCCATCATATGGTTAGAAGCAGATGTACATCCCAAAAGGCTCTCATTTTCTTACCTACTCTAAGCTCAGTATATGCTGGAGTAGGAGTGTTAGGCTAGGTTGAAAGCAAGTGTCTGGGGTTCCCTAGGTATCATACATAGCTGGAAGGCTCACACCATACTGCTATTGAAAATGTCTTTTCCTTATCTCTTCCCCACGTCTCCCCAGATTGGAACCAGCCAGCCGAGGCACAACAAGCCCAACAAGTCCAGCGGACTATTTCACGCTGCAGCTGCCGGATGTACTATATTAGTTACAGCCATGACATTGATCCTGAGCTGGCAACTCAGATTAAGCCACCTGAGGTTCATGAGAACCAGGAAAAGGAAGATCTCCTAAAGAAGCAGGAAGGTATTCAGGCTTAAAGGCTTTTGGGAAGGGACTAGGTAACTTGTGAAAATAGTTACTTCCTTTATGGTTTTCAGGCAGTACTGTTATTAAAAGTCTCATTCTGTAAGTTCTGCTATGAGAGAATTACCTATAATCTTGGAGGGAGATGGAATCAATGGGTATTACATGATTTTGAAATGAGCAAACATGTTTCTACCCATGAACATCTCTCACCAAACCCTTTCTATGGGGTTAACAGGAGTGGTTCCAAATACAAGTTAGGAAATGGGGTAGAAATTTAGGGAGTAACTTAAGTTCCTTACTTAGCTGCTAACAATTACCTAGGGGCTGTGGATACCTTCACCCTCATTCATCATGAGCTAGAAATCTCCACCAACCCAGCTCAGTATGCCATGATCCTGGATATCGTCAACAACCTGCTGCTCCATGTAGAACCCAAGCGGAAGGTGAGCATGGGCTCTTACAGAATGCTTGGTAGCCTCACAGAAACTTCCAGATCTTATGATTTGGGGCCTAGTAAGAAAAGCCATGCATCAAACTGAAAAAAGGCCTGTGGTTGGTATCAGCTGAAATTTTACTTAAGTAAGAAAGGTTTGAGTGTCCCTGAGACTGTACAGCCTGTTTACTTGGGTGGTTGTTTTTGTTCAATTTTCTACTCTGTCACTTAAATAGCTCTAAAAAATAGTAACTACTCCCCACTTCCACCTCCATTCCCACTCTGTGGGACTGGCTTATTGTGAAATTCACATTACTAGATCTTCTGCATTGGCCTACCCTTTACTCTTGGAATAATGGTGACAGATCTTTAAAGGTGAGCTTTCCAGAAGAGATCACCATTTCTTGTTCTTTTCTCTATTTTACTTTACTACAAGGTTTGTTTCTATTTCACTTTAAAAAAAACCTTGTTTGTTTCCTTTTCTGTTCCTTTAGGAACATAGTGAGAAGAAGCAGCGGGTCAGATTCCAGCTTGAGATCTCTAGCAATCCTGAGGAGCAGCGCAGCAGTATATTACATCTGCAGGAGGCTGTGCGGCAGCATGTGGCCCAGATACGGCAGCTGGAAAAGCAGATGTATTCTATCATGAAGGTAGTCACTGAGGCAGTCTGAGGTCAGGGAGCTCTTCTAGGATGAGGGAGATAACCTCTCAATTTCTCTTGTCTTGGCTCCCTAGTCTTTGCAGGATGACAGCAAGAATGAGAACCTGCTTGACCTGAATCAAAAACTTCAGTTGCAGCTACACCAAGAGAAGGCCAACCTACAGCTGGAAAGTGAAGAGCTTAATATCCTCATCAGGTACCATAGCATTCTTTCTCTGCCTTTGTCCAAGTGCCCCAGCTGGAGTCAGTTTCTCTTCCTGGTCTGTGTTCTGAGTCTTTAGGTCTAGTGTGCATTATAAAAGATTGATGTAGTAGATTCAGGCATCTCTTCCTGAATGAGCCTTGTGGGACTTGGCTAAGAGGTTGAGAACAGGATCCTGAAGAATATGTTGATCGTGCAAAAGGAAGAAACACAAAGTTGGGAAAATCACCTTTGTGGCCTTTGATACTGTGCACCTGAATGAAAAACAATGTCTTGAAGTAGATCGGTAAGAAACACAGTTGCAGATACAACTGTAGGGGTTGTACAGATTATTTTATCAAGAAGCTGTCGACCTGAAAGATGGGATTTGTGCTCCCCATGGCCCACTATGTGAGGAACAATTAACCCAGTGAAAGAAATTTAGGGTCTAGCTATTCCAGAATAGGTTCACCTCTGAGTTTACCTCCTGCATCATTCTAGAACATTTCCACTCTACCCCTAACCTGAAATGTTACTGCCCTATTGGCTTTGGTCTTCCTGTCCATTTTTAGGTGTTTTAAGGATTTCCAGTTGCAGCAAGCCAACAAGATGGAGCTGCGAAAGCAGCAAGAAGATGTGAGTGTGGTCCGTCACACTGAGTTCTATTTTGCTCAGGCACGGTGGCGCTTGACAGAGGAAGATGGACAGCTCGGAATTGCTGAGCTGGAGCTGCAGCGGTTCCTTTACAGCAAGGTATTGGGCACATATACTCACACACTGACTGTCTCAGGAGTCTTAACTCACAAAAAGAGATAAACAAAAAGGGGCTAATTATTGTATGACTGTTAATGATTAATGATGATAGCAACTTGAGCAGAGTTCCCCTTAGACATATCTGTTTGTAATATTAAAAAATATAGATGAGTATTAACTTGATGAAATGCTTCCCTCATTGAATAAGATTATCCCTAGAAAAATGGCCCAGAGGAAAGTAGTCTTCCACATCCAACTTGGAGTAGAATTATTCTGTACTGACATTTAGCTTTCCTGCAGTTACCCGTATCTTAGAGGAGAGAACATTATTCATTATTATTCTGCCCTGGGGATGTTTAGAAATGAGTGAAACTAGTTTTTAATATCACCCTGGAAAGTACTACTGGCACTTAGTGCTCTGGCTAGTAGTACCCATGAGAAACCCTGGATTAGAGAGTGCACTGATGTATGAGATTGAAAGAGATACCAAAAATTGGGATTAGATATGTGGAGAACCTGAAAACAAGCAAGATATGTAGCAGTTCTCCAGCAAGCTCCTGAAAGGTTTACTATAGTTGATTGTGGGCATGGGGGGGTGCATCTCTCATTATAGGTGAATAAGTCTGATGACACAGCAGAGCATCTCCTAGAGCTGGGCTGGTTCACTATGAACAACCTCCTCCCCAATGCTGTCTATAAGGCAAGTCTTATTTCCCCATTCCTAGCCCATTTGCAGAAACCCACTATGGGAAATAGTATGATCTGAAATGGTGAAAGCTTGCCTGCTTAGCAAGACCATTGCCTCTCCTCTCCATCTGCAGAGGATGTGTGGGTTGATTCACCACTCTGTATCCTACAGGTAGTCTTGCGGCCCCAGAGCTCCTGCCAGTCTGGGAGACAACTAGCCCTCCGCCTCTTCAGCAAAGTCCGGCCCCCTGTTGGGGGTATTTCTGTTAAGGAGCACTTTGAGGTTAGTAAACAGTCCTTTGGGGACCCAGCAACAAAGGGTAGCCAAAAGCTATCTGTGTTGTATTGTCTATATTAGGGGTAGGTAAACTGAGGGATGATGTCTGAGCTTAATTGCTTCTTCAGCCTTTTTCCTCTTTAGGTAAATGTGGTGCCTCTCACCATCCAGCTGACACACCAGTTCTTCCATAGAATAATGGGCTTTTTCTTTCCTGGCCGAAGTGTGGAAGATGATGAGGTTGGTGATGAAGAAGATAAGTCCAAACTGGTGACTACTGGTGAGAACTTCTATGGTGGAGCTCCAGAAGACTGGGGTAGCAGCCCCAGAGACAGCTGATGCTTCAGAAAGAAGACAACTGGTGTGTTTGTTTTTTCATAGGAATACCAGTGGTTAAGCCTCGGCAGCTGATTGCAGCAGATGATGCTGCACCCTTGGGCCCTGGGAAGGGTGTGGCACAGGGCTTGAATCGGAGTTCTGGGGTCAGAAGATCATTTCGCAAAGCACCCGAGGTACCAGACATGCCTTTGGATGATAGAAAAAAATGGGAGAGTCCTGGAGTACTCTCTTTTGCCTGGCTGGGGATTATTTCTGTTTCCTTTGGTCTATTCCAGGGGTGAAAGGAGATGGAGATATTTGGGGTCCTAACTTTCTTCTGATGGTTTCAGGGGCTCACACTCCCTTCCTACCTTTCCTAGCACCCTGTGGATGATATTGACAAGATGAAAGAGAGAGCTGCCATGAACAACTCCTTCATCTACATAAAGATTCCACAGGTTCCACTGTGCTTCAGCTACAAGGTCTGTTCCTCTCAGCACTTTCTAGAACAGGAAGGAAAAGGAACCAGATAAGATCAGATATTAAAGATAGGGAGACCGATCAGCCTGTGAAGCTGGTCTGTGGATGATAATCTGCTGTTACCTCCACCTCTTTCAGGAGTCGGTCCCATAACCAGAGGTAATGGGGAAATCAGTATCTGTAGGTTGCTGGTGCTGGAAGGTACTATACTTGGCTCAAGTACTGGCTTGGACTAAAAATGGCGGCTGATGTATTTTTTTTCCTCTTTTCTTTCCCCTTCTCCTCCTCCTCTTACAGGGTGAGAAGAACAGTGTGGATTGGGGTGACCTTAACTTGGTGTTGCCCTGTCTGGAGTACCACAACAACACATGGACATGGCTAGACTTTGCAATGGCTGTCAAAAGAGACAGCCGCAAAGCCCTGGTTGCCCAGGTATCCGAGCAGAATTCATGGCTATTTGGTTAGCAGGGGCTGGCAATCAGATCCTCTGCTCAGGAGCATTTCATTGTAGGATTTATCAACAAACAGCCTTGAAAAGTGGCAGGTGAATGAAGTGAACAACTTTGGTCCCTGCCTTCTCCATGACTTGGCTCAGTTGATTAAACTGATTGTTTGTGTCAGATATTAATTACTGCTGATTTTTAGGGGACTGAAGGGTGACACAAATTCAGGTTTAGAATGAGCTCTAACTAGACTGTAAGCTTCTTGAAAGCAGCGATCATTTTATTATTTGATTGCCCCCATTTTGCCTTCATATAAGTGTAATAAATCTTTGTTGGCTTGGTTCACTTTGATTTATTCTGCCTGTCCCATTAATATTTGCCTTCCCTTTTACTCCTCTCTGACCTATCAGGTAATCAAAGAGAAGCTAAGGCTGAAGCCTGCAACAGGGTCTGAGGTCCGGGGAAAGCTAGACACTAAATCAGACCTCAACATGCAACAGCAGGAAGAGGAGGAGAAAGCCCGACTCCTCATCGGCTTAAGTGTGGGCAACAAGAACCCTGGCAAGAAGTCCATCTTTGGCAGGCGCAAATGATGCGGCAATCCACGAGTGGCTGCAGTACAGGATCTGACTGGCTCAGGCCCCAGGGACTGTGGGGTGGGAGGTGCTTCCGTTCATCCCATCAGGATCTGTGAGGGTCAGGAGCCCAAAGGATACTGTGGAGAGAGGCAGTGTTCTTTATCGGCTGGCCTCTTCCAAGCAGAACTTGGTGGATAATAATTCTGAGCTCTACCTCACACTGATCAGCAGGCCCAGGGCCAGAGAGGCATTAAGAGAGCAAGACCCAGGAAATGGGCCTAGGGCTAGTACCTGGTTCCCTTGGGGTCAACGGAAAAGGTGGGAGGACAGTTCTGATCAAGTGTGATGAATTTTTATAAATAGACATATATATATACATATATAAATATATATTTCTAAATGTAACTGCTCTTTCTCTGTGCCAGAAAGTTGAGGGGAAGGACTGATTTGTACCCCCATTCCATTGCCTTGTACGGAAGAGTTACTAAGGTTCTAGGGGGAATCAGCCTCTCCCCAGTCTGTGCCAAGCTCACTTGGGAGGATGGCAATAGGAACCAGGGCTAGCCATGGATTCCCCTTGGGATATGCCCTAGAGAATGGTAAGAAAATGATTTAAAGAAAAAATATATATTTTAAATTTGCTTTTTTTTTTTTAATTGTGTCAAGTGCATGGGTTCAACCTGTGTCCTTCCCTCCCTATCAACACCTAAGATACATCCTTTAGTTGCCACTCTAATGAAGGTGGCCTCTTCCCTCCTGCCTGAAGCTGTATCACAGGTACTTCCCAGCTCTGGTGTGACACTGGCTCCATGCTGATAGGTCTCTGCTCATTTCAGTTCTGGATAAAAGCCTATTATTAACCAAGGCCTAGAGGATTTGGGGATAAAAATGAGGTTTGGTTGCATGCTTGCATCTCTAGTCATGAACAACAAGGAAGAGGCGGGGCCTGTATAATGCAGCATCAGGAAGGAACTGCTTATGTAACTGGGACAGCAGATGTAGCAGAAGGGGAGAGGAGGCAGAGGCTGGGGATGGGAGCACTGAGCTGTCGGCAGGGACAACACACCCAGGTGTCTGCTCCTCATGAGGTGGGGTGTGGGGTCTGGCACCTGTTCAGGGGAGGTGAAGGAAGCGTGAGCTTGAAGCCCAGGAAGTGGAGCATGTTAGTGATGCCCTCCGGGGAGGGTGGGGTAGAGAGACTATACCATGAAAGTATCTCAGCCCCATACCAAAAGGCACAGGCGGAATCTCCAATGCTACATGGGGAAAATGTCCAAATACTGCTTTCCTAGAGGAATTGTATCCAGAAAATCTAGGCTTTGTCCCAAAACAAGGATAGTGGCAGTTTTGCTTGGTACTCAAAAATGTATGTCTCCGGGGTGGCATTTGAGAGAGGCTTGCTAAGATGGACAGAACCTGAAATGACTCAGGACAAAGTTTAGAGTGGCTCCCTTGGTTCTCAGCAGGGTGGTAACATCCCAGGCCCCTGGTTCTGAGGCTGGAAGAGCCTCTGGTCAGGTCTGGGAGAGCAGTGGGGACTGCGGGGGTGTCCATGCCTGTGCCTGGAGCCAGCCCCACTACTCGTGAAGAAGCCTCTGTCGGAGTGGCCAGTGCCTCAGTTCATCAACCTCTTTCTGCCGGAGTTTCCACCTAGGCCTCTTGGGCATCAGCAGCTGAAGGTAGGTCAATGGAATCCCGGGAAGTAGTCTGTCTTGGGGAGAAACCAGAAAGGACCAGAGCCTCAAGTGCCTTGTTCATTTCTTTGTACAGATTTTAGGGCTTGTGGCTAAAGGCTCCTTTGGAACTGTCCTCAAGGTGCTAGATTGTGGTCAGAAAGCAGTATTTGCAGTGAAGGTAGGGACCTAGGTACTCTTCGGCATTATTCTCTAGTCCCTAGCTCCAGTTGTGGTTCCACAGATAACTATGCATTGTTTATGCATTGGTTGGGAGGCATAAACATTAACACTACTCCCCTTTAGGAGTCATCACCCCTCTCCTTTTATAGGTGATGCCCAAGGTAAAGGTCCTACAGAGGGACACCCTGAGGCCGTGCAAAGAGGAAATTAACATCCAGGTACAGAGAGAGCCCTAGAGAGGATTCTAGGAAGAACTGAAGCACAGGTGGAGAAAGCACCTTTCTTGTCCAGCTGTCCTGCTCCTTCCCCTCCCTCTGCTTCAGCCAAAGTAGATCCTAGGAAAAATAGTTATTCTAGGCCTGCCACGGAAATAATCCAGCATGTCCCATTATGTTCCTTACTATTATGCTGGTTCCAAAATTATGAGGCAGGCAGTCTCAGTCATAAGTGATTGACCTGAACTGAGATGTGGGGCAGCTGCTCCCTTTCTGCATAACTGGGTAAATCCTGAGTTCTTGGCTGCCTTGGTCCTCAGTGATCCTGTTCTTCCCTGACTTCCTGTTTTCTTCATCCCTAGTGACGGATCAACCATCCTTTTGTACACAGTCTGGGGGACAGGTGGCAGGGAAAACGGCACCTCTTCATTAGTGAGTGGCCTCTTCTCATTCCCAAACGTCCTTCCACGTGGTACTCCCCACCTGAGATTACCCATTCCTGTGGCCTATTCTGCCTTTGCTCTGTTGCATTTCTCATAGCACTTCTCTCTCCCAGAGGAAGAGGGACTAGCAGGTGGCAGCAGTTTGGGCAGGAGGCCTACAATGCCTTGAGCCCAGGCACTACTGCCTAGAGTACTGATGCTTTGCAGTGCGCAGCTACTGCAGTGCAGATCTGCAGTCCCTGTGGTCCACTGTTGGCTGTTTTGCTGAGGCTTCCGTCCGCCTCTTTGCTGCTGAGCTGGTCCTGGTGCTGTGTAAGTGAAACAGGCAATGGAAATGAGGGAAGAATCAAGGTGGGTCAGACAGAAGAGAATTAGAGAATTGATACTAACTCTGGAGGTCAAAGGTCAGGGACAGGGAGGGGCCTACCAGGGAAACTGGAAAGGACAAGAGAGCTTCAGCATACCTCATGCTTGCTGTCATCCACAGGCTATCTCCATGACTTGGGCATCATCCATCGAGATGTGAAGGTAGAGTTAAATGCTTTTTGTCTGCAGAAGGGCCTCAGCGAGAAGCTCCAACAGGTCCAAGAAGGGAGTGGGGACTAAAGAGTTGACTTTGGGCTCCTCATGGGTGCTAAGGATTTGGGCAAGGGCTCTCCAAGTATGGATCTGATTGTTGAGTAGGGCATCTTCTTCAACTGGTGGATATACATGATGAAAAAGGGTTGAAAGAAAGAGGACGAGTAGTACCTTCTCAACTTAATTTTTCAGATGGAGAATATCCTTCTGGATGAACGAGGTAAGTCCTTTTCTTTTCCTAGTCCCAGAGTGAAAGGAACCTCAGTTTGGGGTGGCTGATGAGGGGGGAACGGAGTGCTGCTGTAGCCTTATCTTTCATAGGCTACCTGAAACTGACAGACTTTGGTCTGTCCTGCTACCTGCCCCAGGGAGCTCAAGCCTATACTATCTGTGGGTACTCTTCAGTACATGGGTGAGAGAGTTGCTCAAGTTGCTGGGTAAACGCTGGGCAAGAGGATAGCCAACAGATGTCAATGACAAGTATCTTTCAAATCTGTAGCCCCAGAGGTCCTGAGTGGAGGGCCTTACAACCATACTGCTGACTGGTGGTCCCTGGGTGTCTTGCTCTTTTCTTTAGCAACTGGAAAGGTGAGAGAATGGTAGTGATGTTGGGCAGAGGAGAGCTTTGTCCTGTGCTGGGAAGAAGAAAGACCTTAGGTAATCTTGCCTTATTCCTACTAAGCAATGACACGCCCCCCCCTTCCATTCACTCAGTTCCCAGTGGCTGCAGAGAGAAATCACGTAGCCATGTTGGCAAGTGTGACCCACTATGACTCTGAGATGCCAGCTTCTCTTAACCAGGGCCTCTCTCGCCTGCTTCATGAGGTACGGATGAGCACCGTTTACTCTTCTTGACTACCAAACTGTTCACTCTCTCCTTTCCTTGTCACTGAAGTGGTATTTCCCCATTCCTCTGATTATTTTGGTGGTGTGGGGTGGGGGGACTTCTCCAACTTGACCAGGTACTACCTCACTGCCTCACTACTTGCCCTCTAACAAGCACTTCAGATTTCACTCCTGAGATCCTGGTCCTCCAAATCTCCTCCTCATGCATAACAGGTCACTTTTGAGTGAGCTGGTGCTGCTCTCTTACCAATACAGCTCCTTTTTTTTCCCCACCTTTGCTGCGAATTAGCCTGTTTCTTCCTCTTTTACAAATCGTCTTCAGGGTTCTTCTTCCTGCCCTCTACAGCTCCATGAACTTCTCCTTTTCCAGCTTGTGTTCAGCCCCTTTCCTATCCCAGTCCCTCAACCCTCACGCTCTGTTTCCCTTCAGCTCTTATGTCAGAATCCTCTCCACCGTCTGCATCATTTGCATCACTTCCAGGTCCACCCTTTCTTTCGAGGTGTGGCCTTTGACCCAGAGCTCCTACAGAAGCAGCCAGTGAACTTTGTCATGGAGACACGAGCTACCCAGCCCAGTCCATTGGAATCCATGCTCTTCAAGGACTTCGACTGTAACCTGGAGTCCTACCTGGGCCACCCTGGCCTTGCTTGAGCCACTCTACTGTAGGAATCTGAGGATCTCTTCCACTGCCAACCCAGTATGACTACCTTGATGATGCAGTTTGTTATTACTTTGTAGCCTGTTACCATTGAAAGAATGTATCCTTAATCCTTTTGGCTATCTCATTTGTTTCTCTTTAGACAGCTTTTTAGCTTTATTATATTTTTTTTTAGAGTTATAGTGACCAAAAGTGTACATTGGATAAAACCCCTGAATACTAGAAAAGTTAATGGTTTCTAAAATAGTAGTTGTGCATGATTAGATAGGAATAATGGTGGAGCAGAAAATAGGAGCCTGGCTCCCTGACACATGAACCATAAAACTAGCACTCAACTACAGAACTTCACCAGGTTATTACAAGAGAAATCAACAAACATTCTCATTTAACCCACTGCTGTGTTGGGTCTCTACTGCAGCAGCTGAACCTACAACCTGATAAAGGAATGAATATGTGTATTAGTTAGCTATTGCCACAGTAATGTTATATAAGAAACCATCCCAAATGCAGTGGGTTGGAATATCAATTCTCACCAGACTACAAGTTGCCTAGCATAGCTAAATGCTAATGCTCTTCTGGCTGGGTCAGCTCTGCTTCTCCCTGTTGTTCCACAGATCAGCCAGGGCAGCTTTTGCCACGTGTGTTTGTTATGGGACCCAGGCCAGAGGGGCAGCAGCTACCCAAGAAAAGCATAAGAGGGCAACCAGAAACCCATCAGGCCTCTTCAAGCCCAGGCACAGAACTGGCACACTTTCATTTCTGCCCATTCCACAGGCCAAAGCAGTTCACATGGCCAAACCCTGTGCCAGGGGATAGGAAGTAAATGAGACCAGGCAAGGTTGTGGGTGCAGGGAGGGGTGGGGAATTAGGGCCAGTAATTCTACCTGTCCCAGGATGTGACTGAGTCCTGCTTTGGAGGTCACACACCCCAGCTCCACACCTCTAGGTGTCACCTATAAATGGAGCATCGAAATGGAGCATCGTGAACGTTAACGTCCATCCATGTGAAGGCTCACCACAGTTCTCTTGTTAGGTCTGGAACCCTGAAAAGGCAAGAATCCCATCTTCCTCCCCCAAGTGCCTATTTCCAGGCCCTGCCCTCAGTAATGACCCACATTTCTGAGTGAATTTTAAGCCGTTTCTTCATTCTCCCTATATGAATCCTTATGAAATCCAGACTGACCTTCTAAAGGTCAGCGCATAGTGCTATGTATTTGCCCCATAAGCTGCAAAGGGACTGTAACATTTGGAACTGGGATTTGTATTGCAGATCCAATACCAAATCTTGTACCCACTGCCACCCCTAGGGACGTCCAAAGGAAAGGTCTTACAGAAGGTAAACATCAAAACAGGTTAGTGGAGTTTTTCCAGAGACCATTTGAAGCTGGAAATATTCTCATCACCTGAAATATCCTGAGGAAGGCTGACTAAAGCACCGCCCTAGTCAGGGCCCCCATCATAGCTCCCGTGGCTCCTCAGAGTCTCTTGGCCCCTCTCATCAAGCACAATGGGTCCCAGAAGCTCCCCCTTAATTGCTGCCTCTCCCAGCCAAACGTTGCACGCTAAAGGAGAACCGCCTGCAGGGAGCCCTGTGAACCCGAAAGAGCGCTGCTCCCATCACCACCGCATTCCAGGTGTGGGCATGTGGGCGGGAGATGGATCTCAGGGCAGCAACTCAGGATCAGTCACTACCTTTATCTGGTCATGGTGGCTGTTTTCCGCGGAGACAATGGGGAGGCTCCCTTATTTACCTTTGAATTATATCATGTTTGTATTAGGGATTTAAAATAAAATTTAAAAAACAAATTGGGTATTAGGAGTCCCTAGATAAGGTCACTTTACTACGACAGTGACTTCCCTGGAGACGGCTTTGCAATCTGCCTGAAACAAAATAAGTTAACAGATATTATGATTTCACATTTAATTTTTTTCACAGTTTAAATTATAGCTCCTGCCACCATCTCTCTGCTCTTATGAGCTCATGGGCAACAGGGTGAAATAATAAGTAGCAAGGTGACATTAAAGGGACAACTCAACCAACTGCAGTCCTGGTTGGCAGCATTTTTGTTTTTCCTGGGAAATGTAAGATGATTGTGATTTTATTCTGCATGAATAAACATGACCATTAGTACCGTTGAGAAGGTTATTCCTACTTCTGTAACTGAAATGTGTTCTGAGAAATGCATCACTTCCAAATGCCTTGCCTCCTGAGCAGGTTGGAGTAATGGGAGTACGGGGATAATGGGATGGGGATCCTGCTTGTAACCTGCGTCCAGGCCAGTTAAGGCGGGAATAGGGGTAGGGGATACTGTGCAACACCCAGTCATGCTTTTATAGAAAGAATAAGTACAGACCGGAAGGGGATGGGAGAATGTACATTGCTCTGCTCAAAAGGCAACACCCGGAGCAGTGATTTATTTCCAAGCTGTGGCCACAGGTCCTTGGAAGGCAGGGGGCCTCTCAATCGTGCATGCACTAAGCACTGTTTAGAAAGCAAGTAAATCCTGTGTCTGCCACAAATGTAATTGTTGTATCACTAACAGTGATCATATATTGAGTGTACATGCATGTTGTGTCACTGAAATCTTACAACTACCTATGAAGTAGATCTTACCCTCTCCAATTAATAGATCAGGAAAATGAGACTTGCGGTGCAGGTGAGGGGGTACATAACTTGCCCAAGTTCACAAAGATAATATATTCATCACCACTCTTTATGTTCCAAGAGAAAGAAATCCAATTAAAATATGCTGAAAGCAAAAATGGCATACATCATATTGGCTCTTATAAGCTGGAGGCCTAAGAGCTTAAAGCTGGCTGCATCCAGGGCTAAATTACACCCCCCCACCCCCACCCATCCCTCAACTCTGCTTTCCTCAGTGATGCCTTCTGCCTCAGAATTGCCACATGATGGTAAAGATGGTCCCTGGTAATTCAACTGCACCGCTGCAGAGCTTATCTCTCAGAGGAAAACCCATCCTCTAAAAGCCTCTGATTGGCCTGCTTGGACCATGTGTCCGGGAGGAGGAGACCCCGGTTGGCCAGGCATGGTGATGGGCACATGTTGGGCGGGGCCTTACACCTGCCCATCAGTCCCAACTGAATTGCAGGGAGCAGAGGCGGCTCAGTGAAATGTCAAGACAAAGGTTCTGTCACCGGAAGAGGGGCTGAGGAGGGTGGCACTGAAGATCAAAGAATGAAATGAGATTGAACTAGCCCTCAAACCTAAAGTTTTAGCAGGCTTTTTCACATATCCCTAGATGCTCTCCTGGTAAATAAAACAAATTCATTGAAAAGCCTTCCTGGTGCTTGGTCCTTATGTATTTTTTTCCTAATGAATGGAAGCTAAAGGTATAACTACTCTCCTGAGGTAGTCCAAAGACCATTCAGTTTTTTTAATTTTAGAGAGGGATCCTTAACTTGAGGATGTGCTCCAGCAAAGAGAGAGGAGCCGGGAGGGGAGTTCCGGGATGGCAGCTCTGTGACAGGGGGAGGAGGTGACCCGACACACTGGAGGACAGCCCAGGAGGGGCTCTGAGGGAACCGGGCACCAGCTGCTGCTGCAGGGTACTGGAGGGGAGCTGGGGGGTGGTAATGGCAGGCAGCACAGAAAGGCAGGAGAGGAAATGAAACCCCTGGCGTCTGGGCAGGGAAATGCAGGACACCATTAAGCTCTGGGGTGCACAATATTGCCACAGTCACACTTCTGTAAACTTCATCCTCTGGAAAGAGTGACATAACTAAACCTCAAGAATGGATTGGTGCTGGAGTTCAGCTCCCGCGGGGGGTGGAATGCCCGAAGGTGCAGGGCGAGTCAGCGCACGGAGAGATAGGACGCTGAGTCAGTTGGAGGAGGTCTCTTGACAAAATGCCGATGACATCTTTATTTATACCATTTTGCACAAGGATATGATTATTTTTTATTTGTTCTTTTGATTAATAAGTATAGGCAAGTCTTTTTCTATTTCTTTCTAATCTGTACATGGTTAGCCAAGTGTTAGACAGGTGACCTTTTTCTGTTCCTTGACCTAAACTTTTCTTAGCAACATGTACCTATTGTGTTTCTCGTTTCTATGCAAAGCAGTTTCTAAGTAATGTATGTGACTGCAGAAGCATGCAGCATGTAGCAGTGACTATGGAGTCTTATCAGTTCAGGGTGAAATACAGGTCACCTTCTGCCACAGCTAGGACTCTTTTCCACAAAGGTGTTCTAGAGGCTTTAATAAATTTATGATCAATCCAAAATCATAAACTCATATCTTCATTATACACCCCTTCATAGGGCACAGTAGGCAGCAAAATAAATTTCCCTTTCTTATCCATATTTCTCTTTCTTCTGGGTGGATATCAAAATTTCCCTGATATATAATATGCAGGTCCCCATGGCTCTATTACTGTAGGGACTAAACAAGTTTTTACATGGTGAACAATGCAAAGGCACTCATCACAGAAATTGTTTCTGTTTTGACCACAAATCCTAAACTATAAACAATCAAGTCAGATATGATTATTTATTTGATTTTTACTTTATATGTGAATTCCACATTTCCCCCTTATGTTTTTAATAAAATGCTCAAGTAGTAGGTAGATGCAAGATAAAGATAGAAAGCATGATTTAGTGCTGTAAGAAGGCAAGTGTAGATGATCAGGTCTGTGCCTATAGGCTAGGTATTACTTCAATAAATTACATAGAATTGCTCAAGCCGGAGACCTAAGGATCATTTTTTATTTCTCTCTCTCCCTTAACTGCCATATCCAGTCCATCTGCAAATTGTCAATCCTACTTTCAAAATATATCTCAAATTCATCCAGCCCCATCTATTCAACCTCATTAGTCCAAGCTGTCATCTCCTATTGCCTGGATCACTAGAAATCTCAACTCTCTCCTTCCAACCATCATCCATACAGCAGCCAGGTTTTTAACTTTTTTGAAGTGTAACAAACATTCAAAAAATGCACACATCATCAAAGTAAAGCTTGATGAGCTTTCACAAAGTAAACATAACCACATACTCATTACATGGTCATCTTCAAAATAAAAACCAGATCATGTCTTTGGTGTATACATCCCTCCATGGCTCCCCACTGCACTTAAGACTAAAATCCAGTTTCCTTTCCATGGCCTGGGTCCCTGCATGGTTTGGCCCGTCTACTTCTCCTACATCATTTTATTCCTTTTAAGCCGCTTATTACACCTTTTGCCAGCTATTGTAACCCTCAAGTACTCCCTGCTCTTTCCCATCCCAGGGCCTTCATAAATACCACTCCTCCTGCCTAATGTTTTTTTACCTCCCAATTCCTCATATAACTTGCTTCTCAAAATTTAGGTCTCAGTTTCACTGTAATCTCACAAAGCACTGATTACCCAACCTAAAAAGTTCTGCCCTCCTAGTGCCACCCCCATCCAATCGTTTGATTTGTAAATTATATATTTATTCATTTATTTATTAACTCACTCCCCAACTAGATTGCACATTCCATGAAGGCAGATACCATGTCTGTTTTTACAACTTGGTACCCAACACCTATGCCTGGCACATAGAAGGTACTCAATATTTATTAAATAAATGAATGAAATGTCCAGAGGCAAAGTACTAAAACTAGCACTTAAGACCTCCATGATTCACCTGAATCTACTTTTCACTTTTCTTTTCTGTGGCTGTGTGTTAAAGCGAACTAAACAATCCCCTCCTCATATGCATTGCTCCCTCACCCTGGAAAGCCTCCTGTGACTTGCACCAAATGTACTCCCCTCTGAGGCCCATCTAATCCACACAGCTTTCTCAGTGGACATCATGAGGGACAGGAGGTATCAGGTTACATCATTGTGTTAGAAAGCAACCAGCAGAGTAGCCATAAAATGAGGTTAGAAACACCATTTTCCCTTGGTTACATTGGCCTATATAAGCCTTCTATTTAAGCTGGTTTGAAGTGCCTTATTTCTCCCAGATGGCAGTTACCTTGTACTCTAAACTCACACCATATTAAACCTATCTGATGGCTTTTAATGACTTATAAATGTAAGCACTTTTTGCATCTTATTCACCTATGACACTGTAAACCTGAGGATGGGATTTGTGATGCACTGTTTATTATCTTTTGGCTGTAATAATTGGCATTTACTATTTTTTACTGCCTTCCCTCTTTTTCATGTAATTTACTTTTGGAGTAGCCTCAAAGGACTATGAATCAAGGTGTCTTGCCCTGTTCTGGCTAAGAGTGAAAGAGGGAGTGAAGAGGAAATCTACACTAAGGTAGGTCAACAGAAATTTGAATCCTAAGTACAGTGACAGAAAGAAATTTTTTGTTGAAGCTCATTTGTTCCAACAACTCTGCCTAGATCAGACTTTGCTAATTCTTGCTAGAGATATCCAATAGAACTGAGTAATTCCTGTTTTTTCAGAACTGGCTTTCCTTATTTTGTCAGCTACTCCATATAATTCTAACAAATTTTTAGTTTAGCCTGTTTCTGTTGCTTGTAACCAAAGACCCCTAATTGATACAAATGTTTAATTTCTTTCTCTGCTAGTTGATGATATTTCTCAACTTTGTTTTCTCCCTCTTCCATTAAGAAAAGGCCATTATAACAGCTACCACTGATGAAGCATTTACTATATGCCTGGTGCTTTATACACATTATCACTTGTCTTAAAAATTCGGTTTGGCAACAGCAAATGTTGGTGAGGATGTGGAGAAAGGGGAACCCTCCTACACTGCTGGTGGGAATGTAAATTAGTTCAACCATTGTGAAAAGCAGCATGGAGGTTCCTCAAAAAACTAAGAAAAGAAATACCATTTGACCCAGGAATTCCACTCGTAGGAATTTACCCCAAGAAAACAAGACCTCAGATTCAAAAAGATATGCACCCCTATGTTTATTGCAGCACTATTTACAATAGCCAAGATATGGAAGCAACCTAAGTGTCCATCAGTAGATGAATGGATAAAGCAGATGTGGTACATATACACAATGGAATATTATTCAGCCATAAGAAGAAAACAAATCCTACCATTTGCAACAACATGGATGGAGCTTGAGGGTATTATGCTCAGTGAAATAAGCTAGATGGAGAGAACAAGTACCAAATGATTTTCCTCATTTGTGGAGTATAACAACGAGGGAAAAGTGAA